TGTAGTCTAGAGTAGAGTTGGAGGCGGCTCAGGAGGCTGAAGAGAGGTGTACAGATGCTTCCCATGTCGCTGGCATCTGGGGTTGGCTCTTTAATATCTCAGGCTCTGGCCAGAACAGGACAAGATGATCTAAAACACACTTACCTTTGGCTGTAAAACAGTATCACCCCAGACTGATGCTGAAATCCCTCGTGAGCCAACCTTGGCTACAAGGTAGGGAGTGTGAGGGAAGCCACATGCTCCTCAGGAGAGAGCTGTGCAGGTTTTCTTTTTGCTCAGGGGCCAAACACTGAAGGCATATACTGCCCCACCCACTGAGCGCCTGAGACCGTTCCCTCCTTTTTGCATGGCTCCTGCCTCCTGGGCCATTTCTCTCCACCCAGAAGGCTGGGAATCCCAGCTGATTCCCTGACAGGAGCCGACTTCACACACAGGTGACTCAGGCATTGGCTCATGTTTTCACCCAGGGATAAACCATTCCCTCTCTGGAGTCCCTGGGGAGCTTTCCCTGTAGGTCTCCTGGGTGTTGAGAGATGAGCTGAAGACCAACCCTCAATGAATGAGCCAAAATTAATTCACTCATATAATTTACTGAGTAGCTGCGACATGCCAACAAGTATGTTAGGCTCTGCAGATAAAGGAGGAATAAGACAGAGTAAGGAAAACTGTTCTTTGTGGTTTCTGTCCCTTGGGGACCACAGGCATCAGCAGACCCATTGAAGTCACCTGAGGCAAAGTGTCTGTGTCTTGGTCCAGCCACCCTTTGCTTTTCAGCTCCTAGAATCCTTAGAGTCTGAATCCCTTTAGCTGGTAACAGCTGTCATGGCCATCCCTGGATAACATTTGCCACCAAGTACAGATGCTGGATCATGGGTTCCAAGCAGACATCATCCAGGTCCATCTGGAACTTTCAGTGATAGCTGTCTTCAGCCAGCATCTTTGGGGGACTCTGTAATAGCAGCTTGAGATCAGTATCTAGAAGACTGTTCTGCAATTTGCTGCCAAATGCATCTCAGGTTTTTAAAGTCATTGTTTCTTGCTCACAGTGGCTCATTGATTACAGAGCTTCCTCACCCCACTAATGAATACTGGGAGGAAAAGGAGCTGGAGCTGCCTCCTTCAGCATCAAAGCCTTTCCTCAGTAATCTGCCTCCCTTTATGGCAGGGGTGCATCCGGGAGCTGGAAGAAACCTGGCAAAGTCAACCAGATGCCTAGCTCCTGCTGAGACCCAGGTCCTGTGGCAGCTCCTTATTAGATTAAAGGAGGTCACTTCCAAAGCAGGTGCTGCATGGCTCACCATCATATGCCCCAAACAATTGAAAGTTGGCAGCTACTACCAGGCTGTGAGTTTCTGGCGAGTAGCTTAGGGAAGCTCAATAAACTGTAGGCCCAGGGCTACTGAAGACTTCCGGATAGAATTCTCCATCAAATATGCAGCATAAGTAAAACTGCTCTGCACTGTTTGATCCATTTCCAAGGGGCTTAGAACAGTTAACAAGGGTGTGTCCCCTGTCCTGCCCCACGAGTTTGCTGGCTTTGTAATAACATGAGACCATTTTGGTTGTTGGTGTCAGATACCTTTCCATCCTGAGCTCTCTCACCCACCTGCTGTCTCTCCTAGAGCAGGATACCGGGGTACTTTCAAGAAGGGTGCTCCTTTTAAGATGCCCAGAAAGACTGTATTGAACTCTTGCTATTTGTAACTTGGGGATGGTCTCCCCTCCCCCAGGGTACATAAGAGCAAAAGGTCCAATGGTCAGTGGATGACTCTGTAAAAGCGACCCCCTGTGCCAGAAGCTATAGCCCTCTCCCTGACAGGAGTCTCTTTTTGGCCAGAGGGCCTGCTTCCCATGGGCATTGCAAGTGCCACCATGCGGGGCCTGGCTCTGCACACCCAGGAAAAGTCTGCAGACCCCCAGCCCTCCGCAATAATTCACCAGACCAGAAGCCACTGATGTACAGAGAACACTTAAAAAAAAATGTATTTTATGTGAAAAAAAAGTTAAAACTCTGTATACTGTATCAGCAGCTTTGTGTAAAAATGGCAATCAAGAGAGTCTAATATATTTAAAACTTTTTTAAAAAAAAATCCTCGCAGATCTTTGATATCGTACTGAAGTAACTTCCAGGAAGCCCCTCGCCACGTGGCACTGCTGGGCCTCGGGTCACAAACCGTGGCTCAGCCACATCCCAGAGAGGGCACATGTCCCTGGAGTTGCTTCCAGCTGCCAAGGCCTGTGACAGAAATCGCTGTTAAGAGTTTTTAATTAAAATTATTAAATTCCTTTTAATAACACCTGCTAGTGTGACTGGTTATTGCTGTGAGCTCACTTGAACAGTGCTGACTTAAATTCACAAAGAGGACATGCCTGGAGTAGAGGGTGGGTGAGGGCTTCTAATCTCTTCCCCCTTACTCCCGGCTTCCTGCGGAGGGCTCTGGAATGAGGCCCCTGAAGTAGAGGGAGTTCTGGGGGCTCAGGCCTGGAGCAGATGTCTCTCCAGACTGGGAGATGGTAAAAACTGATGACTTCAAGAAAAGGTGGGTGGTTGGGAATGACCTTCATTCTGTCAAATATTCTCTTTGAAGTTAACATGAAGCCCTATAATAGCATATATTTATTCCATACATGTTCCAAAGTTTTCCTGATATTTATTTATTTATTTTTATTTTTATTTTTTTGAGATGGAGTCTCTGTCATCCAGGGTGCAGTGGTGCGATCTCTGCTCACTGCAACCTCTGCCTCCCAGGTTCCAGCGATTCTCCTGCCTCAGCCTCCCGAATAGCTGAGATTACAGGTACTGGCCATGATGCCTAGCTAACTTTTTGTATTTTTAGTAGAGACAGTGTTTCACCATGTTCGCCAGGCTGGTCTCAAACTCCTGACCTCAAGTGATCCGCCTGCCTTGGCCTCCCAAAGTGCAGGGTTACAGGCGTGAGGCACTGCACTGGCCTCTGATGACATTTATATGTAACAAGAGTGCCCCTCTCCTCTGTCCCATTCTTGGAGTGCACTGATGCGTCCCGTACTCTTCCCCCTGCCGCATTCCAGCTCTTCCTTTCACATGCTTATGGTCCTGGCCATTCTTGTTTTTTACCTTGAGGCACAGAGAAGCTGTGATTGCACAGCCTCAGACCACGGTCCTTGGTCCTTGTCCCACACAGAACTTTGTTGGTGTTTTGAAAGAGGGTGAAAAGGGTGCTCTCTTGTTGCCTCCTGGACCCTGGATACCAGAGCAGGGACACATGGAAGGCCCCACACTTAGTCCTGAGAAACTTCACAAATGGATGGGAATGGGGAGAGGAGGGAAAGAGAGGGAGAGGCATTGCTAAATAATGATGGTAACTTCTCACATTTATGATGCTCTTTTCATTTACACGAAGAAGATGGAGGCTGAAAATTGACTGTTATTTAGCTGTGTGGAACTCATGATGAACCTGACAAGGGGTTTTGGCAAAGCAGTGAGGGTTTTAGCCTGACTGAAGAGGACTGGAAGAGAAGTGGAGACAGCAAATATAGACAACTGGTTTGAGGGTTTCTTTTTCTTTTCTTCTCTTTTTTTTTTTTTTGAGTCAGGGTCTTGCTCTGTCACCCAGGCTGGAGTGCAGTGGTGTGATCATAGTTCACTGCAGCCTCAAATTCCTGGCCTTAAGTCATCTCCTGCTTCAGCCTTCCCAGTGGCTGGGACCACCATGAGCACTGCATGCACTAAAAGTTAGACACACCACCATGCCCGGCTAACTTTTGTATTTTTTCTAGAGATAGGGTCTCGCTATGTTGCCCAGGCTAGTCTCAAACTCCGAGACTCAAGTGATCCTCTTTCCTCGGCCTCCCACAGTGATGGGATTGCAGGTGCAAGTCACCATGCCCAGCCATGTCTGAGGTTTTATGCTGCAAAAGTAAGAAGAGAAATGGGGAGCTTTAGAAGAATGTAGGGTCAAGAGAGGGCTGTTTTAAGATGAAGATGTTTCAGCATGTGTGTAGGCTTATAGAAATGAATCAGTAAAGAGGGACACTGATGTTCCAGGAGAAAGAAGGAGGTTGCTGGAGTGATGCTGGTGAGTAGAGGGGCTGGAAGTGCCCAGGCAGAGGAGCTGGGGTTGGATGGTGCAGGCACGGTTCAACAATGCCCTGAGTATGGGCAGAGATACAGACAGGAAGGTAGATGGGATGAGTGCATGTGAAAGTTCCCTTCTCACTGCTTTTGTGTTCTCGGTGACATAGGAAGCAAGCTGTCAGAGAGGAAAAGGTAGAGAGAATGCGAGTTTCATTCCCGTCACCCAGGTTGGAGTGCAATGATGCGATCTCGACTCACTGTCACCTCCATCTTCCAGGTTCAAGTGATTCTCCTGCCTCAGCCTCCCGAGTATGGGATTACAGGCGTGCACCAAGACACCAGGCTGATTTTTGTATTTTTAGCAGAGACGGGGTTTTACCATGTTAATCAAGCTGGTCTCGAACCTCAGGTGTGGGTCAAGCTGGTCTTGAACTCCTGACCTCAGGTGATCCGCCCTCCTCAGCCTCCCAAGTGCTGAGATTACAGGCGTGAGCCACAGCATGGGCCCTGTCTCCTAGCAGGCAGTTTTAAGGATCATGAATTGAAAGCAAGACCAGTCAGTAAGCATGGTTATGTTCTTTTTTTCTCCAGCCCTGTAGGGCTGCTGCAGTGCAGGTGGAAAGTAGCGTGTAACCAGGGTAGGTTGGGGTTTTACAAGGCAAAAACCGGTGAAATGAGAGAAGGCTACCCTAGGGTGTGATCAAAGGAGAGTTCCTAATACGATGAGCCGGTATTTTTTGAATGAATGAATACACGGTTAAATGCAGGGGATAAAGGCGATATGGTTGGCCATGCCAAAGCTCCGAGAGCCTAGGAGCAGCGTGGCCAGCGTGTCTGGGAGCCTACACCTGGCCCTCGTCGCTACCTTGTAAGGCTGCTCTGTGGGGCGGCCGGCAGGGAGCGCGCTGGGATGGCCAGGAGCCTGGCTCTCCCGCCTCTGTCCCTGCTCTGCTGCCCGCCCCGCCCCTGCAAGTTTAAATTCCGCTTAACAGCCCCGGCATTGAGCGCAAAGGCTCCGCTGTGCAGGCAGCCAATGACGCATCAGGGGGCGGAGCCGCCTCGCCGCTATTGGAAGGAAAACAGCCAATGGGAGAGCTGAGGCGGGGAGGTGCGGCCAATGGCGCGGGCCTGTTTGATTCAAAGGTTGCCTATAAAGCAGGCCGGCACCCCGGCTTTAGTCCTAGGGCTGTCGCGTCCGAGCGTCGCTATGGCTCTGCTTTCCGAGGGCCTGGACGAGTTGCCCACTGCCTGCCTGTCGCCGTGCGGGCCGCCCAACCCGGCCGAGCTCTTCAGCGAGGAACGGCGTCTGGCTCTGGAGGAGCTGGTGACCCGCGGCCCCGAAGCTTTGGCGGCCTTCCTGCGACGCGAGCGCCTGGCTCGCTTCTTGAACCCGGATGAGGTGCACGCCATCCTGCGCGCGGCGGAGCGGCCAGGAGAGGAGGGTGCGTCGGCGGCGGCTGAGGACTCGTTCGGCTCCTCTCACGACTGCTCGTCGGGCACCTACTTCCCCGAGCAGTCGGACCTGGAGCCGCCGCTGCTGGAGCTCGGCTGGCCGGCCTTCTACCAGGGCGCCTACCGCGGCGCCACGCGCGTCGAGGCGCACTTCCAGCCCCGCGGCGCGGGCGCGGGCGGCCCCTACGGCTGCAAGGACGCGCTGCGCCAGCAGCTCCGCTCTGCTCGAGAGGTGAGCGGCCCGCCCGGGCCCTGGGTCGCACGGGAGACCCCCTTCCAGAATGGGAAATTGAGGCCTGCTGGGAGCGCGGGCCCGGGCCACTACCGCCTCTGCGCCCTACCGGAAGCGCGGGCCAGGAGGTCCTCGGGTCCCCGACTCACCTCACTCTGCGTGTCTCCCCGGGATATTCCTGGCCACTCCTCGTGGCAGGGGATAGTGGGAAAGCCTCAGTTCCCAAGGATGCGAATTGGGCCCGGGTTTCATCTCCTAACGTTCATATGGCCGAAGGGGGGGACCAGAAGTACACCCAGTTCCAAATTTCAGTTAAAATCAAACTTGGAAAATTGCCGATTTTCCTGTCAGCCCATGCTAGATCCCACTTTCTGGAGCTTCTTAGGAGACTCATTACCAAAGAACTTACGTAGGGAAAGTTCCAGAAAGATGGTCTCCAGAAGCAACTATGGGGCATTAGGAATCAGTAGGAATCAATTATTACTGCTAATTACTTTCACGCATCTTATGTTGTAAAAAGCAGATAAACACAGGAGTGGCAGACTGAGAGCCCTCCTGCTCTTTCTACTGCTAGTGACTGGAGAAGTTTGCCACTGTGAATGAATGGGCAAGAGGTTTGTTTTCCATAGGCTGGGTCTGTGCGAGATTGCAGTGATCTCCTAAAATGCAGATACATTTGCGTTAGATCGGCCTCTGTATTCTCAGTGGGTTTTGGTCCTATTGTCTGACCCTTACTTAGTATGGCATGGTCTTGGGTGCAGTGGAGGCCTTGTCTGCTTGCCAGCCTCGATGAAGCTGCAGCGGGGTGCTGGGGATCAAGGAGGAAGAAGGCAGCCTACAGGTGGGTGTGGCAGATAGAGTGTGGTGGCAGACACCTTGGTCTGAAGCTATGGTCAGCTTGCTTGCTGACCGGCAATGTCTAGCTTCCTGGCTGTCTGCCTGTGCCAGGGACATGGCAGATGAAGCCCCAACCATGGTAAGACTTGTTAGGGCTGGTACCTGACTGTGTCTGACTGTGGGTGAAGATATCAGTGCATTCTTAGGTTGACATGTCCAAGTCCGACTCTCACCAGTGTTCCTAGTTTTCTCTCCCTGACTGGTGGGGTTGCAGTGGTTGTGGATACAATGACCTAGTGCCTTGCCTTTGAGAGAGTGGCTGCAGGCTGCAGCTAGGCTCTTACCAGCCCTGTGGTGCTTTGGGTGGGCCGAGGGTCTTTATGATGCTGCATACATTTCCCATGTGGGTTGAGTGAGCAGATTTAAAAAGATGGAAAAGGCAGAATTGTGTAGGTGTGCATTCCCAAAGCTCATGAACTTGAGCACTTGGAACCTGAGAAAAGTAAAGAACTGGTCTATATAGTGAGACCTGCGGCTTGTTCTAGTCTTTTGCCCAGCTCAAAATTTTAGTGATAGCAAAGGGGCACCGGAACCAGAGGCCAGAGGGAAACTATTAACACATGCTAGACTGAGGAAGGGATGGAGCCTGGAGCTCAGACTCTCTCATCCCACTGGCATTTTGTAATACCAACATTTCCAGATAGAACCTGCTGCCCTAGTCTAGCTACCCACAATTCCCTCCAAGATGCTGTATTTGGAACCTTTAAATCCAATGAGTATTTGCTGGGTGCAGTGGCTCACGCCTGTAATCCCAGCACTTTGGGAGGCGGAGGTGGGCGGATCACAATGTCAAGAGTTTGAGACTAGCCTGGCCAACATGTGAAACCCCGTCTCTACTAAAAATACAAAAATTAGCTGGATGTGGTGGCGTGTGCCTGTAATCCCAGCTACTTGGGAGGATGAGGTAGGAGAATTGCTTGAACCCGGTGGTGGAGGTTGCATTGAGCCGAGATCACTCCACTCCACTCCAGCTCTGGGCAACAGAGCAAGACTCCGCCTTGGAAAAAAAAAATCCAATGAGTATTTTCAGTGTATCTGATAGATGCCAAATTATTTGCTTACTCAGTGCCTGCTGTGTATCAGACACTACCAGGGCTGGGGCCACAGGGGAAGGCATCAAATTTGCCTACACTTGAGGGTGGACAGTATGCTGATAGGAAGCAGTGAGGAGGTTGCTACAGGCACTGGGGAAAGGGCTAAAGAGTCTCCTGAGTGGCATTGAACTCAAAGCTGGGTGGGGTAAGGGATGCGCTGAATTTGAGGCCCCAGAGACTGTCTCTTTTGTTTAAAAACAACAACAACAAAAAGCCAGGCATGATATCGTGCACCTGTAGTCCCAGCTACTCAGGAGGCCGAGTCAGGAGGATCACTTGAGCCCAGGAGTTCGAGGCTGCAGTGCACTTTGATCATGCTGTGAATGGCTACTGCAACTCCAACCTGGGCAACATCGGGAGACCCTGTTTCTTTTTTTTTTGTTTATAATTTTTTTTTTTTTTTTTTTTTGAGACAGTATCACTCTGTCGCCCAGGCTGGAGTGCAGGGGCACCATTTCAGCTCACTGCAACCTCCACCTCCCAGGTTCAAGCAATTCTCCTGCCTCATCTTCCTGAGTCGATGGGATTACAGGCGCATTCCACCATGCCTGGCTAATTTTTTTTTGTATTTTTTAGTTTCACCATGTTGGTCAGGCTGGTCTCAAACTCTTGACATTTTTATCAGCCCTCCTCAGCCTCCCAAAGTGCTGGGATTACTGGCATGAGCCACTGTGCCTTGCCCTGACCCTGTTTCTTAAAAAAAAAGAAAAAAAAAAAAGTAATACTTTCTATTTGCCAGGCACTGTTCTAAGTAATTCCACGGAAGGAGCAATTATCATCTTCATTTTACACCTGATAGAACTGAGGCATAGAGAAGTTAAGTAGCCCCAAAGTCATGCAGCTAGACAATGAAGGAGCCCGTACTCAAATTGAGGCACAGAATGTCTGAACCATGTTAACCACCACACTCCCTGTGGAGGGGTCAGGAGCCTGTGCTCGGGTGGGGAGAGGGGACAGAGAGCAGATCTGGTGCTACCACTGGGTAGGGGTGTGCCTGGTGGACAAGGGAGTGGCTGTGACACCTTGAACACATCCTTTGAAGTCCAGTACCTGTGACAGTGAGGGCCAGGAAGGTACAGGTCTCAGGCTGCTTTCAGGATGAAGTGAGAAGCTGTTCTGCATCGGTGTTCTGATGGCAAAGGTACTTAATGATGATGTGATTGAGGACTTCGAATGGGTCAGTGTCTGTGCTAAACCCTTGACCTATGAATTACCTCACTGAACCCTCCCAACCCTGGGAGGAGGCCACAATTAAGAAAAGACCAGGCACAGAGAAGTTAAGTAACTTGCCCGAGATCACACAGTTAGCATGGGACAGAGTTGGGCTCAAGCCCAAGTCTATGTGGTTCTGGCTCTGAAGCTCACACTTTTTTTTTTTAAGATGGAGTCTTGCTCTGTCACCCAGGCTGGAGTGCAGTGACATGATCTCAGGTCACTGCAGCCTCCATTGCCTGGGTTCAAGTGATTCTCCTGACTCAGCCTCCCAAGTAGCTGTGATTACAGGAGCACGCCATCACGCCCAGCTAATTTTTGTGTTGTTTTTGAGATGGAGTCTTGCTCTTGTCACCCAGGCTGGAGTGCAAATGGCATGATCTCGGCTCACTGCAACCAAGTTGGAAGCTGTAGTAAGTTAAGATCATGCCACTGCACTCCAGTTTGGATGACAGAGCAAGACCCCATTTCTAAAAAATAAAACGCAATTATATATAGTATGGCTGGCTGCTTACCAGGTGCTCAGTTGAACTTCGCCGAAACTGGAGGAAATACTGCTTTGAACCTTTTGAGAACTCGTATGTTTGCTTCCTAAGGAAGTTTTTGGATAATCTTGAACTATACAGGATTTTTTCCCTACATACTTGCTCCAGATCCACCCCTCTACCACTGTTTCTGTTGATGACTCATTCAGCTTTTTGCCTCTGTTACTGTGTGAATTGGAATTTGGCTGGGCTGTGACCCCCTGCGTGGAAGGGCTGCGTAGCCTCATTTTGGCAGCGTGCTTATGAATTGGCTGTCTGGCTATTCCTGGTTTGTTGAATGGGAATTTAGAGGCAAAGCTGGTACCACCAGGAGGTTCTGATTCCTCAGAGTCACCTTTCTTGCCAGTGCCTATCCTTATGCTGTTTTGTTCCAAAAGGCCATTTTTGCTATGACCTCACCCTTAGGCATCCTCTTGATAACCCAAATGTTAGTAGTGGGGATCATTGCATTCCCAGAGAGCCCTGCCAGGAGGAGCAGCAGCTAAGGAATGTGTTGGAGGCCCCAGCATGTACTTGGATGTGTCTGAATTGAGAAGCTTTCCTGCTCTTGCACAACTTTCCTCTGCATTACAGTAGAACCTGTGTGGTATGATCAGTTTCTGTTCCAAATACTCATGTCAGCCTCAAACAGGGCTTCTCAACCTCAGCACTATTGACCTTTAGGGTCGGATAATTCTTTGTCCTGAGGGGCTGTCCTGTGCATTGTAGGATGTTGAGTAGCATCCATGGCCCCCATTCACTCTATGCCAGCAGCATCCCTCACCCCAGGTAGTCATGATATTCAGTGTCTCCAGAGGGAGAAATAGGGAGTTACTGATGAGTGGTCACAGAGTTTCCGTTTGGGGCTATGAAAAAGTTTTAGAAACAGATAGTAGTGTTGGTTGTGAATGTAATTATTGCCACTGAATTGCACACTTAACAGTTATTAAGATGGCGAGCATTTTACCATGATAAAAAATGTCTCCAGACATTGCTAAATGCCCTCTGAGGGCAAAATCCTCCCCAGTTGTGAACCACTGGCCTAGAATTTCTCACTAGTGCATCATTCTGGGATGTTACCCACTAGACTGAAGTGTTGCTACTAATTTATCCCTTCCTTTTGATTTCATGTGTCAGGTTAAGGATTTTAGAATTTTTAAAAATATTGTAAAAAATACATAGCAAAATTTACCATTTTAACCATTTTTAAGTGTACTGTCCAGTGGCATAAAATACATCTTCCCAAAGTGAAACTCTGACACACTAACTCCTC